GATGCAGGGCTCGATCCCAGAACCCTGGGATTATGACCTGAGCCAAAGGCAGATGCTTAATGATTGAGCCACCCAGGCGCCCCTCAACTCTATTCTAAAGGCAGTGGGAATTGACCAAAGGTTTTTGGTTTGGAAGCTGGGGACTGACAGGTTCAGAGCATCCTGAGGAATGACTCAGAGAGCTGATGCAGTCATCTTGATGACAAGTGGTGATGGCTAGAACAGGAGGAACAGATGCGGGGCGCATTGTAGAGAGTGGAATGAATGACTTAGCAATCAATGGGATGTGAGGACTGGGGGAGGCAGAAGGCTAGTTGCTGACTAGGTCTAGAAAAATGATGGCCCACAACCCACCCAAATGGATGAGAAGAAGTCTTAAGGCAAGAGGGGGAATGATAGGCAAGGTGCTGCCAGTTAAACAGCTCTCGGTGGCTCTTTGCTGAGTGGTCCTTCCTTCTGCTTTCCTTTCCCAGCCTTCTCCAACTTTAAAGGTCCATTTTAGCCCTCACCTCTTCTTTTTTTTTTTTAATGTTTTATTTATTTATTCATGAGAGTCAGAGAGAGAGAGAGAGAGACGCAGAGGCAGAGGGAGAAGCAGGCTCCCCGCCTAGCAGGGAGCCCGATGCGGGACTCGATCCCAGGACCCTGGGATCATGACCCGAGCCGAAGGCAGACGCTTAACCATCTGAGCCACCCAGGCACCCAGCCCTCGCCTCTTCTAAGAAGGGTTTACTAAACATTTATTCTTCAAAACAGTCTAGCCTTAATTCGCTTGGAATCATATCTTTTTAGAGTGAGAAAGTGCCTTTTTGGAGTCTTCTAGACCCTTCTACAACATCCCCCAAAGTGGCCATCCCTCCGCTTGAGTATGTTTGGTGGCAGAGTGCTCACTGCTGGGTGACTCTATTCCAACGTTATATCGTTAGAGAAGATCTCCATGAAGAATCAAATTTGCCTCTCTGTAAATCCCAACTGTTGACATGAGTGCTGTCTCCTAGAGCTTCACACTCAGAGTCAAACTCCTCTTCTACAT